TCTTTTGCTCGCTTATTTAAGACAATAAAATATACTTTACCTCATTAATATATATATATATATATATATGTATATATAAAATTATCAATTAAATAATAAGTCATTTTTATTTTTGCAGAAATATATATTGCATCCTCTATTGTGTATTATCCGGTATTCTGTGCACATCTCTCTCTCCAAGAATACTACTTAGTTAGAATAGTTACGCGATGACATTCCTTTTACTTGCATGATTGAGTGCACCCGCAAGGGCGGTCATTTAATTAATTAGACCGCAATTAACCGCAAGATCGATCATCCGAGTGACATTTCCATGTTCGGGATATCGCATACAAAGACTTTTTCCGTTCGTCGCGCCGCATTTGCGCTTGCATTTGCATCGTCTTTCTAAGCCAAAGTTCGTGCGGAGCGTTGAATGTGACAGGGAACCCATTAAGCTCTCTCTCTCTCTCTCACACGACTGCAAAATTAATATTCATCCCATTATGATTTCGTTTCACGACCTTATTTCGTCAAGGTGAAAATTTTCGCGAGCCAGAAGTGCACAAAACGACGACTGCAAGAGATACGGCAATTCCCCCGAAAATTTATTTGCTCGAAAGCCTAAACCTGTTCGCGGACGACTAGAAGGAAGGAGCGAAATAAATCGTCCGGAATGAAAATATTGGAAATACAACATCGCGCACGCCGAAAAATAATCGATCTGGACCACAACAGGTTTTTCGATCTCGGAACGAGCAAACAACGAGATTAATTTCGGTCTACCTCGCAACGAGAACGAAAAAATAGACAAGCGACAGTTGTTGACAGAGCTATTTATCGGAAGAAACGAATTTATCAAAAGGTATTTTTTGGGATTGGCGTCGACCGGATGCGGCCCAAATCGAGCGTTGCTGATAAACGGAAGTGGAAATAAAATGTTACATTGTATAAATGTAAATAACCAACGGAAAGTTGAAATAATTGTGATAAATTGTAGGCGATGATGATGGAGTCAGGCAGAGTAGAAACATTGGTGCATTGTAAAATTTACGTTAAGAATAGAGGCTAGTATATTCAAAAGAAAATTCTAGCTGTCACACATGTGCTCAGTACCTATTCTTCATCCTTGAACTCGAATTGTTCATAATACAGAACTGCTTGCAATGTCTTCTTTAGAAAGAGAACATATTTTGCGAAAAAAAGGAGATATGACACACGTAGTAATTAAAAACTATCATTATCCGATTTGCAAATATGCAGAAGAATACATATCCCTTTCTTTAATAACATTTTTAAAATTATAATAGCGTCGTCTAAATGTGTTACATCTATATTGTAAAAAGATATTAATTTTTTATCTGTTTTATAATAAAAAAATGATAAAACTTTTAATTTTCACTTTGACGATATATAATTTAAAGATATTCTTGGAGATTAATTACATTCAACTTTGTTCTGACGATTTTCAACTGGAGTATTACGACCATCTGTGCACTTTAATCTTTTCTTCTATGCTCCTCCTTATCTCAAACATTCAGAGCTGGCTGTGCAAATCTATGCGCGTTGCAGCTTTTCAGAATTAATATATTCGTACTATCTATTCATATATCTATCTCTTATCTCTTTTTTATATTAATATCACTTTTATCAATTATGACGTATATAGAAAAAAACAAATCTATTAAATATTTTATATTTATATGCACATTTTTCCTCAATAATTCACAATTTATTTTTTATATATTATATTTTACATTATTTTATATTATTTTTTTATTATCATATTTTATATTATTTTATATTATTGTTTATTATAATATTTTATATTTTTATTTTATAATCTGTAATAATAAAATGAGACGAATTTTCTATATATAAATATATTATAATATTGTATATAAGATAGAGGTTTTCACAGCTGAATTTCGGCACGCATAGTTCTTATTGAATTTCCAGTCCAATTGCCATAAGAAATCCTTAGACACATTTTTCCTCAATAATTCATAATTTATTTTTTATATATGATATTTTACATTATTTTATATTATTTTTTTATTATCATATTTATATTATTTTATATTATAATATTATTTATTACCATATTTTATATTATTTTATATTTTTATTTTATAATCTGTAATAATAAAATAAGACGAATTTTTCTATATATAAATATATTATAATATTGTATATAAGATAGAGGTTTTCACAGCTGAATTTCGGCACGCATAGTTCTTATTGAATTTCCAATCCAATTGCCATAAGAAATCCTTAGGCACATTTTTCCTCAATAATGCATAATTTATTTTTTATATATGATATTTTACATTATTTTATATTATTTTTTTATTATCATATTTTATATTATTTTATATTATTATTTATTACCATATTTTATATTATTTTATATTTTTATTTTATAATCTGTAATAATAAAATAAGACGAATTTTTCTATATATAAATATATTATAATATTATATATAAGATAGAGGTTTTCACAGGAAGTAACAGCTGAATTTCGGCACGCATAGTTCTTATTGAATTTCCAGTCCAATTGCCATAAGAAATCCTTAGGAAAGCAAACGCTCGAAAAGATTAGGAACAAAAGTAGTAAATTTTAATGGCGACGTGGCCACTTGTTCCCAATTTACCCCAGTAAGTCTACGAGGAGACAAAGAGGAAGGCGATGAAAGAGTGTAACATTCGTAGTAATCAGCGGGTAGAAAAATGCCTTGACTTTTCTTCGCGGCGCGATTAATTCTAATAAGCTCCGAAATGTGATTCCTCGGCTTCTCTCGGCCATCGGTTCTGCTAACGCGCTGATTGCCTTATTATAAAAATAAATTTGTCCGTCTTCCCGACTCTCTCTCTCTCTCTCTAGATATAATAAGATTAAGAAAGCTCCACCATTTATTGCACGCTTCCCGGATTATAAATTTGACTGAGTTACTCGCAAGTTGCACGCGGGAAAAGAGGAACGAATTTTCGACCTGATTCGTAATAAGCGAGTTTAATTATTTGGAGGTAAGTAATAGCGCATTCGCTTTAATGTGCAAGCAGTACGAGAAAGACTGATTAGGAGAAAACGGAAACCATAAATGAACTCCTGCGATTTTAACCATTTATCTCATGAATTAATCTGTGTGTTTGTCGTAGCGTATATTCTGCGAAATTTTATTCAAACAAAAGTTGCCATATATTTTTGGAATTTTATATGTTCTCAGAATTTTTTTCAGATAAAAAAACTCTGAGAACATGTAAATCCTTCTTTAGAATATTATATTTGTTATAATTACAAAATGAATTTTATAAGCCTATTTAGACGATTTTATAATTCGCGACAGAATTCGGCGCTGTAAAAAAAATTTATATGTATCGTGAAAAATCAAGAAATATTAATACATAATTATACGTATATATAATTATGCTTAATAAATCGTCTAAATAATGATAAATAAAATAAAGCATACATTATCATTCTGAAAAATCTTATTTTAGATCGGATTATCTTGCATTTTCGACAATACTGATATCTTCATATAGCTACATTGTGAAAAAAATTATTAACTTGACTAAACCTTTCAATTAAATATTATTTTGTTAATTAAACATATAAAAATATTTAATTTAAATATAACATATTAAATCTAACAAAACGTATATGTATTTGACTTAAGTACTAATATATGTTCAATTAACAAAATAGCAATTTAGATGAAAGATTTAGTCAAGTAAACCAATTTTTTCAGTGCAATTATCGAGTAAATTTTAAACTACTTTTTCAATTTTTGTCACAAAATAATTCCGAAGATTATATATACTGTTTAATAAATATATTATCGATTAATTTAAAATTACTTTTTCAATTTTTGTCACAAAATAATTCCGAAGAAATATGAGAATTTAAACTGTTTAATGAATAATATAATCAATAACTACTTATTGTGACCATAACTTGGGATCTAAGTAATGTTTTATAATTTTACGAATTATCCAATTTTGTGACACAATATTTCAAATAAATCTCTCTTTAATTCAGACGCAAACTAGCCGGCTAGACGAGCGATAGACATTTACGAGCTACAGTTCTGAAGAAATTGCTGCTAACTTCTTTGGAACTTTGCAGGGATTTCGATCCATCATTGCAAAAGCACACAGAGAAGTCGTAGAAGATGTAAGCCGATGAGGAACAAGTTGAATCAGACGTTCGAAAACCGATAATCAAAGTTGTACGGCGATTCGCGCTGAGCTTAATTAATGAAAAGTCACTTTTGCAACTTTTACTTATCATTAAGGATACATTTAGTCAGAATCAATGAACCGATCTTTTTTCAACGCTGAGATTCACTCTTTGTAATCCATTTTTTCATATAACGGCATTAAAATTTGATGGATATATTTGATGCACAAAAAAATGTTTTAAAGTATAAAAATCTATATTAATATCGAACAAAAAAATCGTATCTATTGAAAATAAAAGATCCCAGAAAAAGCGCAAAAAAAAAAAAAGAAATAAATCTTTAACCAAACTAGTTATTATTTTTTCTCTATACACATTCACTATTAACCGTGTACCGCATGTCAAAATATTTATTGCCAATACTAAAACAGAATAAAGTGTTATTTCCACAAGCACAGTTTCATTCCAGGTTCACATGAGTCACAAAAGTTTAAACTTGTTATTTTTTGCAAAAAAAACTCAGCTCAAGATCCGGCCACAATATCCGGCGCTTTCTCCCTCTTTCTCTCGCTAAAAACGCTTTATGGATTCGAAATTGTTCAACGATCGCACAATTAAATCCGTCGTCGACAACACAGTTTTTCAGATGACCGAGTTCGGGAGGGGCTTTCAACCTTGAGCACATATGTGCTAAAAATCCAAGCCACTCTGCTCCCGTACGGCGAGTCCCCACCTCGACTCGGTTCATTAACAATTACATAGACACCCATGGCACAGGTGGCACACGATATATAAAGTCACGAGGAATCGACAGGGCCGGCTATTAGTTCGGCTCGTTCCACCGACCGGTTCGCAGGCGGTTTCCGATTCTCTATATCTCCCGGCCAAATCGTAAATCGGCCGATTTAATCGGCCGATTGGCCCAACACGTGCCGGAGTGAACGACTTCGAGTTGTGCTTCGCGTTTCGTTCAGATCGCCACCCAGTTTTCCTCCAGATTTAAAGGGGACCGAGTCCTTTCGATCGCCCCAGGATCGGCACGAGATTCGCGTTCCAAATCAAATCGTAGTTTCGGGAACCCCTGTATAATCTCAGGATGATGCTCGCCGAGAAAAACGTCGATCTTCTCGTCCTAATAATTGTCAAGTGTCTTCTAGTGATACGCTGCGAAACCACGTGTGTAGGAAAAACTATACTGAGTGAGTAGCTCTCTGGACTCTTTTTCGTATCCTGGTAAAACATTTTTTATATATAAGTAATTTTTTATGTATAAATTTTATATATATAAAAGTAATTTTATATATAATTATATAATATTAAATATAATATATAATATAAAATTAATAATATATTTTATATATAAAAGTAATTTTTTATATATAATAGAAAATTATATAGAAATATATAAAATTATACAAATAATCGCAAAATTATATATGAAATATGTCCATACATAATTAGATAAAAGTGCTTTTTATATATAAACCCTTAATTAATATAATTATGTATAAAAAATTGTTTACCGGGATTGGTGAATCAAACTTTTAATGTAGTGTTTCACATGAAAAGAATTTTCTCTTAGAATTTACCTCTCAAATCATGGAAATCGATACAATAAAAAATCAATTGAATATAATCAACAATTGAATATAATATCATAATTTTCAGGGTAAATTCTAAGAGAAAAGTCTCTCCGTGTAAAACACTTTATACATTAAGTTGGATTTTATTGTGGTGGATATATTTTAATGAGAGAAACTCTTATAAAATTCTTCCAATACTCTAATTTTTAGGGTAAATTCTGAGAAAAAATTCTCTCTGTATTAATTAATGAACGAATAGCAATTTCATTCGATTCATCTAACGAAAATGTCGAGAGATAGAAAAAAAGAGATCGAGCGAAGAAGTAAGAATTTTTCAAAGCATTTCATTATATTCGATTCTTAATAATTAAATTAGAAATTACAATTTTATTAACCAAACACTGATTTCAAATAATAACCCGACGACAAATATAATATTTTATTCATACATCCTTAAATTTTGATTCCCAAGAAACTCTCTTCACTATGGCTGCGAAAGAAATATGAAATCCTCCATTTTCCGCCACTCTCTTCAGAGACATCTCATACATATTGACTACAAAGAAATATGCGAGTTAAATTCACCGTTCAAGATCTGAAAGTAAATTTTTAATCTCTGAGATAAGAATTGCGTAATTTATTTCTTACAATTTTTTCTATTATTCCCATAGTATATTTTATTCTTATATTATTTTTGTAAAATATGTATAATATAATATATATAATAAATATATATATGTATATACATATGTATAATATATTAATATTAATACATTCGATTTATAAGATGTTTGTTGCTAAGTACAGCTAAATTTTTAATGATAGCGTCAATAATTTCAATAGGAACAAAGAGAGAATTAACAGAATTAGCTGTTGTTTTATAATTTCGAAACAAATTTAATCGGCAAAGAACATCAGCATTCATTAATTTTTTGTGTATAACTTGATAATCAATAATTAGCGAGATACGTTTTAACGTAATACGATCTGTGACAGCATAACACAGTTATCATAGAATCAAATAGGGAGTAATGTTTCGAATCGATATATGAAATAGCTTGTCTCTCATTGCAGTTATCGTTTAGTCATGTGTAACTCATTCGAAAATACATAAAATGCTCTGATACGTTTATTTATTATAAGAGATTTAACATGTCGTTCATTAAACTGAGCCGAATAATTCAGCGCACAAAATTCATTATTTATGACAAAAGCGTCTTATGATTCATTTTCATTAATTCCGATATTCACTTCCGTCCATAAATAGAGAAAGAGAGAATAAACGATCCTATATATTTTTATCTAAAAGTCTACATACGCCCCGAAGGAGAAATGCACAGTGCACTTTATTCCGATATTTAGCCGGCACTTCGGACGTGACTCCGAAATGACTTCCAACTTGGCTGCAAACGAGCGTATCCTCCCGTAAGGCTTCGAATAATCCTCCTCACTGAGAAAGTTCAGTCCTCCAGATCCATGCACTCTCGTCCATCAGCCTCCAGACAACATTCATCAGATAAGAACGCGGCGGGATATGAATCGCGCCCGTGCGAATTAATTCTTCTTAGCGACGCGTTTCTTTGCACACCGCGAGAGAGATATGGTTCAACGATTTATAATTAATGAGAGAGAGAGAGAGGACGATATCTCGGGAGAGAAGAGAAAAAAAAATCGCGGCCGAAGGTCCGATCTTTGTGCAGGTTTCGTTAGCGCATCGCCTTGAGCTCGTTCATTCAATATCGCGTGCACGAAAGAGTCAATTGCAAAAACATTCTTCAATGTCGTCAATTTTACGTCGCCAAATTTTCTATTACGTATTTAATTTTTTTTACGTTGAATATAATTGCCATCTTTGATAGGAATTAATTTTCTCGTAAAATATTTGTTAGCCCCTGAAATGTTATAACAAATTATTTTTTACGTCACCCAATAATAATAATAATAATAATAATGGAATGTTAACTAATATAGAGTAAATTGCAAAAACATTCTTCAATGTCGTAAATTTTACGTCGCCAAATTTTCTAATACGTATTTAATTTTTTTTTACGTTGAATATAATTGCCATCTTTGATAGGAATTAATTTTCTCGTAAAATATTTGTTAGCCCTGAAATGTTATAACAAATTATTTTTTACGTAACCCAAATAATAATAATAATGAATAATAATTAATAATGAATAAAAAATGGAATGTTAACTAATATAGAGTAAATTGCAAAAACATTCTTCAATGTTGCAAATTTTACGTCGCCAAATTTTCTATTACGTATTTAATTTTTTTACGTTGAATATAATTGCCATCTTTGCTAGGAATTAATTTTCTCGTAAAATATTTGTTAGTCTCTGAAATGTTATAACAAATTATTTTTACATCACCCAAATAATAAATAATAATGTAATAATAATGAATAATAATAAAAAGTGGAATGTTAACTAATATAGAGTAAATTGCAAAAACATTCTTCAATGTCGCGAAATTTTCTATTACATATTTATTTTTTTTACGTTGAATATGATCATCTTTATAGAAATTAATTTTTCGTCGTAAAATATTTGTTAGCCACCGAAACGTTATAACAAATTATTTTAACGTATTTTTCGTGTCATTCAATAATAATAATAAAAAGTGGAATGTTAACTAATATAGAGTAAAATGCAAAATCATTCTTCAATATCACAATTTTACGTCGCGAAATTTTCTATTACATATTTATTTTTTTATACGTTGAATATATTTCATCTTCATTAGGAATTAATTTTCTCGTGAAATAATTTGTTAGCCCCTGAAATGTCATGTCAAATCATTTTTATTTTTAGAAATAATAAATAATAATAAAAAAGTGGAATATTAACTAATATAGAGTAAATTCCAAAAACATTTTTCGATGTTGCAAATTACAAATTAATTTTTTTTTTATACGCTAAATGTAATTATTATCTTTACTAAGAATTAATTTTCTCGTGAAATTGTAAAACATCTGTTAGCCGCTGAAATGTTGTAACAAATTATTTGAAACGGATATTTTTTAACGTCATCCAAATAATAAATAATTAAAAAAGTGAAATATTAACTAATATATTAAATTGCACAGAGAAAATTTATCAAAGAAAATGTGTATTAATTATATGTTTGCGTATAATTACGTGAAAAATTGGGAAGCGTGAATAAATGTTTAAATCAGATTAAATAATGTTATTAAGGTAAATTAAGCTATAATAATGACTTTATATTTTAAAAACACGATGCCATATAATTAAAGAAGCATTAAATTGAAAACAACAATACGTTTCACCACTTACTTATGACTTCTTCAGTTGTATACATATAAATTTGTAATATTCTTGTTAAATTCTTAATTTGTAATATGTTGTTACATGATGATTAATCTTGATGATGCACTGAGAAAAAAATGCTGTTGATTCAATTAAACGTCACGGGCTGCCACAAACATATGCAGTTGATTAATCAATATATCAGTATCAGTAACAAAAACATAACATCCTGTTTTTTAAATATAAAGTCCTTATTATAGCTCGAGAAAAGCCTATTAATTTACCTTAATATTGTGTTCCTCAAACAAGCTTATTTTTAAATAATTAATATTTTAAATAATACTGTTTGCAGTCTTTGGGCTCAGCTATTAATCTAATATTCCTACTGAAAAGCGTGATATTTTCACGAAAAAAATGCGTCTGCGAGTGAAGCGGTTACATTTTCCAAAATGTAAAAACCTGAAATTAAATAAAAAATATTTCTTTAAATATTTTAAAAAAACATGTCACTTGCGTAAAAATCGTAAAATCTCTCTCTAAAATATAACCGAACAAATTCATTAATTAATACGTCATCGTAATAACACCCTATATACATACATACATATACCGTACAAAGTTAATTTTTTTTTCGCCGAGAGAAACGCGTCTAAAAAGTCGACAAACAGAATTAGCAATTAAAGTTTAAGCAGAAAGATAGCCGATCGAGGTATTTATTTTAGCTCGCCGCGGATCCATTCCCACGAAAATTCCGAGTTAGTTCGGAGAGTTAAACTGCTCGCTCTATACGAGGTGGAATGGAATTAGCAGGTGTCGGGCCAGAATTGCATCGTTACGCTCGGTACCAAGCCTATCTCATTTCCGGAGCAAAAAGAAACTGACACAACATTTTCCCGTCATAGCGGGACGGCCGTCAACCGAGCACAGGAGCGGATGTCATCCGAGTTTGTTTCGCCTTTTCAATGGCTAAACGAACGAGCGGACGATACGTCAACTCGAATGACGATTAATTGGCGTGCGTCGAGAGGAGAACTTGCTTCGTTGTCGCCGACAATGTTCGTCTCATGTTCCGTTAATGATCTGCGCTCGTTATCCAACTGTTGCAAACAGCGCGATTCTTGTATTGTAAAAATAAATAAATTAGTTGGAAAATAATTGCGAGAGAGAGAGAGAGAAGCGTCCCGATGTAGCTTATTTTTTATTTTTATTATTATAATTTGATGCACTTTTTATTTTCCCTTATTTTAGACTCAAAGTTGACAAACAAGAGTATTCGTTATTTGCTAACTTGTATTAAAACATTTTTTTCCTGCAATTTTTCGATGAGTCGCGTGAAAAATG